CTACTTCGATAATACAAAATCACCTGTCTCTGGTGCCTATTCCTTACTGTTGCCGATCGTTATGAAGTTTGTCGGTTCGTGACGATATCTAAATTTAACATGAAAACAACCGCAAAAATCCAAATTCTATACACTGAAATCCATACTAATAACATTATAGACGACATTAAGTCAATGTGTTCACACACTTCCTACATGAATATTAGTCACAACGGGTCAAAACTGGTCACACCGCCTGAACAAGGCCCTCGTTCGAAGTCATCTACAAAGTGAAGAAAAACCTGGAGCAGGTAATGCAAAGCTCTATGCGATCAGATAGAATAACCGAAGCTATGCAGTCAAATGAGAATCATTCAACCAGCAATGTGATTTCTACTCGCCTCACTTTTCTCCGTTGGTTAGTCTTTCTATCTCCGTAGAAGTCTTGCATTTCTTTACTACTCTTACGTAAATACCCATCATCCTCCGTTCCCATGGTCATCTCGATTACCGCTCATTTATTAAATTATTCACCTTACTAAGTAGCACTAATACACCTAATCAACCCATTGTATGCATTGGCTAATACCAACAAATATGCTTGTGATTACCCACCACTTTCGTACTACTTTCCTTCATGCAATAACTGTATATGAATGTGATTGTATAGTTAAGTGAGAATATGAATTCGCTGAAGAAAGCCTCTTTTCTGAGCTACTTGTCTACATTATCTACGCAATAATTTACAACATCATTCGAGATACCACTAACTGATTTATATAATAGTCTGAAGCCACTCAGGCGAATCCTTAGCGTTTGCGGAGGAGGCGGAAGTGGCCTGCACAACGTACATCCATTTCGATTATCTGAGACCAACTGCTTCAGTTGAGTATCTGATTTGACTCAGTTCAGAAAATTGAGTCATTTTAAATTATCCAATTTCTGTCTAGCTACTTGCGCGAACTGTCAATACCGTAAATCAAATTCACAGTCCCCAATTGTTGTGCTGACTACAATATATGCTACCAGACAAATCCTATGCGGTGGTCCAAATATGTTCAGTTTGGTTTTCACTTGAGACTGTGAGACTGAAATTTTATGCCGTCGAAATGGGTGACTGCAAATCATGATTTGAATTTCATGAGATATTGGAGGATGTGAGTGCTTTAATTTGAAGCAGTCGTACTCGTTTGACCAGTGCCCCGAGTTGATTTATTGCTCTAGAAAAACGATTTGGCAACATTCGTCCTTAGACAGTTTACTGAGAAGTAATCTATTGCTGCTGAGCAAAGAATTTCCACAATACTCTGCGTTAGGTGTGTAAGCGTTCTTTGTAAAAGTGCGCGAAACAATTATCCCAGCGAGAACAGAAGCATGTCGTCAGTTGTGTTTTCTAGCATATCATGTCAACTCGCCACACTGGTCACTCAAGGATGACAGCTTTTAATTAACGTATGGACGTCTTGTAATATCTCATAAATCTAATACCCGATTTTCAATTCCCCAGTTAGAGTTCCATAATCGGTTAATTTTATTATGATGAATTCTCACGGTGTTATGCAGTATCATATCACCTCAATATGAATATGATAAATACGCTGTGCTCGGAAAATCGCCATCGGTAAATATCACTGTATAACCCTGTGAGATTATTTCGGAGTGAATTTTACCCCAAATAGAATAATACTCTATCACAGTGCACAATGTTTGTTCTTGCACCCAGTTCGACGGTGTAAGTGATAAATTTCATAGCCTCACTTGAATAAAGGGAATATTTTAACCACTATGCAGGTTATATTTCTTAGCAACGACAATAGTAAGGAGAAGCAATTGGAATTATGGACTTGATTTAAACATAACCCTGAATCGAACTGAAACCACTAACGAGATCATGAGATTTCCAGTCACTATTGATTTTTAATCACGTCTATTTTCCCATGCTGGCATACTTGAAACTATGCGTATGATCCAGTGTTTTGTATTTCCAGCCGACTTACTTCCACACCTCACCTATTTCCATTGTCGTTATCCACCTGTGAACCGGACAGTGATGCGTTTCACCGTGACCCTATTAAACTAACAACACTATCGGAATTCGAATATTTATCCCTGCGTGATCTACTCAGAATGTATAGGGATTAGAGAAATTCCTTTCCATGAAATAGGTTTCTCAGCTGGTTATATAGTGGAATTCTGCGTATTCTCTTGATCTTTTGTCACTCTGAGTAATGCTTACCAGTCTCCATGACATACGTAATCAATCTGCCTTGTTCAAACACTCATTCACTTTCCGAACTCTACTCGTGGCTGAAAATGTAATTTGATGTATTATCTTGAGTGATTTGTTGTCGAATGATGTTGGCTTGCATCTTGGTGAGTTCACACCATCCTACATTCTTTGTAGACGTCTACAGCGGATATCGACCTGGACCTCGAAATTTTTAACCTGTGAATGCTTTTGTGACACAAATTCTTCCATCGACGTTCAACTCGTACTGATTTACAGCCTTCGCAACGCTATTTCTCGCAGCGGATTTTAACTTTTGTCATTTTTATCATTGAAAGAAGGTGAAAGTATCGCTCTATATAACCAGTATAACATCACGTTAACAATTATTTTGTTAAATTTCCAATGTAAGTACATTGAAAACCTTTTATTATGATGGATATCATACTCTGAATGCCCAAGCTTTTTTTTCAGCCGTTAAAAGTGAACTTGGTTTGGACTTTATCGAGGCATAAATGTAACTTCTATAATGATCGCATCTCCAACGCATGTTGTCTACAGAATGGAATGATTCCATTGTCCCTGTCAGTGAATCCTCTTGAATATTCGCTGATATCACTATTCGCTGCAGATGAAACCTGCACACTGTTTTCAGGAGAAAGAATACATAGCTACAACATCAAACTTCAATGTAGTCGAGCGAGCGAGAATTTAAGATGTAGACGTCTATTCAAGAATACTTGTTACTTGTTACGAAACTCAGAATGTTTTAAATGAACGTGAATCAGATTTTCATAGGCGTTACCAAAAGTAGACAAATACCGAATTACATGAAATTTGATGTAAAGAAACAACCGAAGTAAATCTCATTTAATGATATGAAGTAGATAAGAACCATACACTCATCGTGTCAGACAAGATACTAACCGAAAATGAAATCTAATTACCGGAGGAAGGTTTGAAGGTTTCAGTGTTACTGAAAAGCCATTATCGGTCGAGGAAATAGCACCTATGATCGAACCTGCACTAGAAGTGATCACCGTTGAATAAATGCAATCTGTACGTCAAAATATATCACGTATAATTATGACGCAACTAAACATATCATCCAATCTCACCAAACAAGAATATGTGTCGCTGAGATATTTGAAGAAATAGAGAAGCATTGTTCTATATATATTTGACATGAAGACGTCAGTGTAATTATGAACAGGATTGATTATGAAAAGAAGGTGATTGCGCATCTAACCGACGGACCTTACTTACTCACTGAATAAAAGAAGAAACCTGGCGAATTCCACAAAATGAAATTAAATATCAACAGACTCCTTCAAGAAATAAAATCAAAAAATGGATTTGTCTCTGGCTTGAACTGAAAATAGATTCTAATGTAACCTCAAGATTCTACGGTCAATCAAATGTACATACAACCATAGTGGATTTTACTTACTCACCGACAAGCGACCTTCCCGAATACTTATCTTTCTTAATTCACCTACTGCAGAGGACAGTCATGATGTTGTAGAAGATACATATGATTCTCATTTGACTGCATAGCTTCGGTTATTCTATCTGATCGCATAGAGCTTAGCAATGCAAAGAAGATGATAGCGCATTGCCTTCGACAGGTTTTTCTTCACTTTGTAGATGACTTCGAACGAGGGCCTTGTTCAGGCGGTGTGACCAGTTTTGACCCGTTGTGATTATTATTCATGGAGGAAGTGTGTGGACGCATAGACATAATGCCGTCTATATTGTTATTAGTATGGATTTCAATGTATAGGATTTGGATTTTCGCGATTGTTTTCATGTTAAGTGTAGATATCGTCACGAACCGACAATAGTAGATATTACTAACTCACCGACAAACAACCTCTCCAAATACTTATCTTATTAATGCACCTACTGCAGAGGATACTCATAATGTTGAAGAACGTACGTATGATTTCAAATCTCCAACAGAACACCAAGAAGTTGTTAAAGAAGGCAGTATGGTGAGCTATCATACTCACTCATTACATACTAGTATTCCCAACTGCAGAAAGTCTCGATATCCTTCACAATCTACTAGAATCAAGTACAGCGCTATCACAAAGATGTCCACCGGACACCAGTGAAACAGTTAACAGCTTGAAATTCTGTCTAGAATATAATTATTCTACATTTAAAGGGAATTCATTTAGACAGACAAATGGTGTTTCCATGTGTTAACCAGTTTACACAATAATCGCTGACCTTTTCATAAATACATCCCAAGATTACATCTTTTCAAACATACTCACTCACAAAATATGCTTAAGATATGCATATGATAGTTTTCTAGTGCTATAATGAGGTCTACACAGCTGATTCTTGGAGAAACTAAACCATCCATCACCCAGAATCTCGTTTGCTTCAGAAGTAGAATCAGCCGTCGGTGAACTACCATTTCTATGCTGCTTGACTTGTGAAAATGTGGGAAAGCGGACATTTTCTCTTGTACATCTATATTCTTGAAGAAAACCCACTCCACCAAGAAATATATAGACTTCGAATTATCGGAACCCGCCAATTCAGTGTTTTAGGATCAGTATCTTAAACGAACACACTTTCTGATTACTAATGAGACAGCAAAAGAAGAAGAATAAATATCAGATTTTGCTGAAACTTTCAAGGAAAACAACCACCCATGGAATTTCATCAACAAAACCAACACTGGTATTAGATTATGTGGAAAACGTGGATAATAGTGTAACCTACAATTCGAATTTGAGAAAATGTAATTGAACATTGAAATCTTTGAACAAGTTCGGGCTAAACCTCGGCAATTGTATATTTTATGTTTATGTTATAATAAACGTATGCAACGAAAGTTTTAAACGACCTTTTAACATGGATTTATTTCGCTTGATGCATTTGAATAAAGGAATAACAACATCTGTAAAAAAACCTCTGTTGTTTGACTTTATTCAAATTTACAAATTTAAATGTTATGGTTCTCCTGATTCTTCATTTTGTTGATGTTCATTTGCATTTCCTTGTGAGACTATTGTTGCACATACTGATACTGAGGAATGTCGTGATGATGGTGTTGAACTTAATGATGCTTCAGATGGTGTTGATGTTGTTGTTGATGACGACGATGACGTTGACGATGCTGATAATGATGACGACGAAAATGTCCGTGTAGAACAGTTAGTCTTGACTTGACATTTCGGCGGCAAACGAAGTAATCCATAACAGAATAAAGTGAATATACCAATTAAACACCATGGGATTGAATACACAAGGTATCGGTAACCAGCTGAAATTTTGTCTAATTGTGGATAAGGACTAAAACTGTAAACTGTGATGGAAACCTCCATGCTATAGAGAAAAAAAATCAATATATATATGTATATTATAGGACAGTGGAATAAAAATGAAAACAGACAGCTAAATGGACAAGTGTTGGTGTGCACGTATTTGATTGGTTTCCAGATTTATTAATGAACGGACATTGGTTAGAGAAGCACCGGAAACCCTGAGAGTACTGGACAGCTGTTTTGCCGGTGTCTAGAACTGTTCAGTAATACGTGAGCACCCACAATTAGCCTAGAATACGAGACTTTCCAAGTTACAAGTCAACCTCTTTGACACCTAATCAACTGACACCCGACAAAATGGTCACACCATGAATTCCAATTTCTGTCAATTTACGAAATTCCCCTATAGCTGTATGACAAAGACTTGAATACTTGAATAATCGACAGTCGGAAGCACCTTCATTAGGTGGTAGCCTTTGAGTGAGTGTCTGAAGCTTATTCAGCAAGGTGTGTATACATCCTTGAGGGTGAAGACCGCCAGCCTTAACTCCTTGGCCGCATTGAGATTTGGGCTGGTGTCACTCACCTTCATATGCACAAATGCTATTAGCCATTAATTCAGTGGAACCTGAGAATGTCCTTCCGTGGGTTCACAAGTTGTTATGTAATGATGTATGGCTGGGGCAGATATTTTAAATGTTGTCTGCTCTCTAGTAAATGATGCAATTACTTTTTCTCCATATTGAGGTTACCTGTGGAGTTACTTAGGAATCAAAGTTGGAAATTAACGTTGCAAAAATACAACTGATTTCGTAAGGCATGTGGAATGAGTAAAATAATTACTAGGAAAGTGAGAATTATTATAATAAGAATAATAATAGTGGTAACAATTGACTCAATAAAGGAATAGTATACAAATTGAAAGGAAACTTAAGTCAATGCAAGAACTGGCGCGGAATTATGCTCCTGTCCATCCCAAGCAAAATACTAAGCCGTATCATTCTGAAGAGAATAGAACAGGCCATGGATGAAAGACTTCGACCGGAACAGGCTAGATTCATGAGAAACAAGTCATGTATTGATCGAATTGCCAAACTAATGATCATCGTTGAACAAAGCTTGGAATCGCAGTCACCTCTCTGTCTCAACTTCATCGACTTTGAAAAGGCTTTAGGCGGCGCGGCGTCGATAGAGAGGTGATTTGGCAACTACTTCACTACTACGGGGTGCCATCCACAATTATACATCTTATCCAACAGTTGTACGACAATGCTGCGTGCCAAGTAATCCAAAACAGGAAACTTACGGAATCCTTCAAAGTGAAAGTTGGAGTAAGACAAGCTGTCTGCCTACTTTCTCCAATGATTTTTCTGATTGCGGTAGACTGGATAGTGCGATAGACAGCGGGTATCAGAGAGACAGGCCTAAAATACACCCACACAAAACTTGGGGGACCTGGACTTCGCCGATTATATATATCTGATTTCCCACAAATGGGAAGATATGCAAGTGAAAAGCAAAAGCTTGGCAGAAGAAGCATCAAAGATAGGACTCCAAGTAAACATAGAGAAAACAGAGGTAGATGATGAAGATTTCTGGTCAACAGCAACAACAGACAACAATCTGGATAAATGGGACAAAAACCTGATAGAAACAACCTCCTTCACCTACCCGCCTACCTGTGAAGCATCCTTTCAACTATAATAATAACAATATACACCTTGAATCAATAATATAGCTTCAGCCTTGAAAGTCATCCCATAGGCGAAAAAATAATTTGCCCAAATCACTACTTACTTAACTCATATTTATAGGTATTGCTGAATCTTTGACCATCGAAATAGAAAATCAGATCTCTGTATACAGTAAAATTTCCTTCAACGCCCTAACTGTCATGGTCATCATCCCCCTATGCTAAAGTATGGGAGTTCTTGAACATATATACATATTATATATATATAATTATACTTTATTTGATCTAGTCCACAATGCTCAAATTTATTACTGATATTAGTTCTTGAACATGTTTTTGTTCTAACTATTTATCGGTTTTATGTAATAAATTTATATACTCTTCCCTTATCACGTCAATTGTTATTAGTATTACTACTATTTTTTTAATTTGAATTGTCCCCTCATCGGTATTATTTCACTCCTTCTACTTGTCATTCGAAATCAGTTTTATTTTTGAAACGTTACATTCTGTGTTGTTGAATTTCACACAGTTTTGTGTAACGTTTATTAAATACACTCAGGCGGAATATTGTATTTTTTGAATGGCAATAGTTATTATTATTATTATTGTATCCTTTAGTTCCTAGAGGAACATAGGGCTTCAGCTGCGCACCTCCATTGACTTCGGTTTTCTGACAACTTTTTCACCCTGCTCCAGGTCTGTCCACATGCTTTCATCTCCTCCTCGCATGATCTCCTCCAAGTCACCCTTGGACGACCAACTCGCCGCCTCCCTCTCGGGTTCCACTCGAGGGCTTGTCTAGTGATGTCACTTGATGGTTTCCTCAGCGTATGGCCAATCCATCTCCATTTCTTTCTGCCTATTTGTTTCACAATCGGTTCCTGATTGGTTCGCTCCCAGAGATCCCTGTTGCTGATCTTTTCTGGCCATCTGATCTTGAGTATTGAGCGGAGACAGTTGTTAATGAAGGTTTGAAGTTTGTTTGAGATGCTCTTTATGACTCGCCAAGTCTCTGATCCATATAGTAGCACTGACTTCACATTGGAGTTGAAAATCCGGATCTTATTTTTGATGCTGATTGCTGTTGACCTCCACACAGATTTGAGAGTAATGAAAGCTTGTCTTGCTTTTCCGATTCTGGCTTTGATGTCCTCGTCAGTTCCGCCTGTAGTTGAGACGATGCTTCCCAGGTAGGTGAAGGAGGTTGTTTCTTTCAGGTTCTTCCCATTTATGCTTATTGTGGTCTGTTGGTGTTGTCGATGTTGGCTAGGAATCTTCATTATCTCTGTTTTATCTATGTTCACGTGAAGTCCTATCTTTGATGCTTCTTCTGCCAACTTGTTACTTTTCACTTGCTAAAGAAACTTCAGTATGATGAACCTCCTTGCACCAAAAGAAAAAGTCTGTGTAGGAACATGGAACGTCCGAACTATGTACGAGACTGGGAAAGCTGCCCAGATCGCCAACGAGATGAAAAGATACGGAATACAAGTGCTGGGAATATGTGAGAGCAGATGGAATGGCAATAGTTACAGTGTATTTATCGTTTCAGTCACAGACGACAGGAAAAAATGAAGATGTCAGGAGCAGCAAGCACAGAAGAAGTAAAGAAGAAGAAGAAGTAAATATGACAGACGTTGAGGATTCTGAAATGACGACTGGAAAACTGACTGCACTCAGGGTAAAGAATACGATTCTGGCTTTCAAAAAACTAATGCCAGTATATTGAGTCTACGTGTATTTTACCGGCTAGATTCAGACGCTTAACAACCTTCCTGCCTTCCTTCATCAATGAAGATCAAATAGTCAGAAATGAATGTGAATACAAGCAAGTCTAGTAACGAATGAACAGGAAGAATCGATTAGTCAACCAACAATTATGCGAGGAGAAGAGATTGAGATTCGATTGGACACTTACCGACGAAATCTATAAGTGATATCAAACGTTAGAGCAGTGAATATATATACGAGTTATGTGTGGTTCTTCAGGTGACACGGAGAATATCTTGTGTGAGGAGGAAATGAAAGCTCATGGATAATCGTGGAAACAGCTGGATGGGATCTTAGAGGACAGGATGAAGAGGAAATGTCCTGTGAAAGCTCTTGTGTTCCACTGGGAACCCAACAAAATCAAAATAAAATGCAAACGCTTAATTAATGATAATAATTTACAATTAATAGTGTACTCTGAGATGGTTGGTTCAGTTGCGTTACGTTACGTTGATGATACATTTGTAATAATTAAGAGAAATGATTTAGAATATACCCATAAATTAATAAACAACATATTTGAAGACATCAAATTCATCACGAGAAAAGAAGAGTTCGATAACATCTCATTTTTAGATGTCTTAATCAGGAGAACCAACGCAGGAAATTTAGAAACACAAGTTATATAGAAAATCAGCGCACACAGATCAAATACTCATCTATACTAGCAATAATCCAATTACTCACGAAAGAAACTGTGTTCAGACATAGTTTAAAAAAGAATTCAAACACACTGTAGCACTCCAGAGTTGAAAAGAATGGAAGAAAAATACCTTCAAACGATCTTCAAAAAGAATAAACGGTTATCCACAAAATTTCATCAAAAAGTGTTTAAAATCGAATCACAACACCAACAAGGAACCATCATCAAAGACCACAAGAAAATTCATCCTACCATATATAAAAAAGTGGACGTCTTCTTCGAATCAGAATCCAAGAACACAAATCAACCGTGAAAAGACACAATATATATTCTTTCATATCGATGCCAATAGACAATTATGGACATCAATTCGATTTGGACAATGTCGAAATCTTAGACAGAGGAAACACCAAAAGTGCAGTCAAGGTATTCCTAGAAGCCTGGTACTCAAACGAAAATGCAATTAACAATCACGTTAATACAGACGAAATATACCAACTAATAAAAAGAAACTCAGGTGACCAGAAAGTTTAAAATCCAAATTAATAGAAAATGGTCAATATATATATAAAGAGCGTCGGTGGTATAGCGGTTAGGACGCTCGCCGACCATGCATATGGTTCGGGGTTCGATCCCCGGCCGGCGCACTCCTTTACCTCACTGAGCCAGAAATAATGCTGGTAAAGAGGAAAGGTTGGGCATGAGGCTAGCAACCCCATCCTGTAAAAATTAAACACTGCTACAGAAACCTCAAGCCACTAGCTTGGAGCCCTATGTTCCACTGGGAACGTGAAGGAAAAATTATTATTATTATTTTTATTTATATATAAAGATGGTTATCGGGAAACGCAATTATGTCACTCATGAAGAAAAATTTAAATCATTTCACTTCATTTTTTATTTATTTATTTTTGATTACAGCTTGATTTCACACCGTATTTTTGGTACAGGCATGGAATTTTCAGCGTGGATATCGGTAGCCCAAATTTTGCAGGCCAACCATAGATATCAGGTGTGCGTCGGCGTGAGCTCGAACCCTGGACCATGTGCATGGTCGGCGAGAGTCCTAACCACTGTGCCAATGACGACGCACATGCTAAATACTGTGCTGAAGATGTTGTCTAGAAGGACGACGAAGCTTCGCAACTAAACCAACCAGCTCACAGAGAACACTTTTAATTGCAAATCATCCACCTGAGCTACAATCTTCTCTATTATTTTGATCATAATAATATCCAGTCTCCTAAATTAAACATAGAACAACTCTTGGTAAATGTCTAAATGAAGCGCAATAGTAGAGGTGAGTAAATATCTGCAGTTTCAAGGAAACGTAACTCACAAGATATTGTAGCTTAGTAGTGGGATGAAGGCGAATATGAGGGAGATTAATAAACGCGAAGACTGTGGTCTCCATACGAATAAATCGGCCAGGATGAGTAATGCTCCAAATGATGACTTGAAAGAGAAAAGAAAAGAACATAAACTACGCATATACTTTAACACAAAATAGATTGACTGTGTCAATAATAATACTCAGACATATATAATAATTGATTTCACCTGAGGATAGCTGAGTACTTGTCGACGTAGCAAGAAAACTGCCTTTTCATAACGCTATCTTCTCCCTGATCCTCATTTTCTCAGCTGCCAAATTTCTCCACCACCAGCAGCAGCAACAGAATATGTCCACATACTGCGAAAATATTCTACTTGACACTACAGTGCGAATCTTGTTCACTTATTAGTGAATTTTGTTGATGGCATTGTGGGGGGAGTTGTGGAGAAGATTTATCCGTAGTATGTTTATAGACGCAGACTAATAGGAAGTAGTGAAAACTGGACATATCATATTAAGTCAATGGCTACAAAAGTCAGGAAATAATCCCACACTTTTTCTCTAGGTTTGACCTTCAATGAATTAACATCCAATCAGGAGGGCTTATTATCTATCCGGTGACCTTGCCAGACTTTAACACATAACTGAAAAAGGTATAAATACGTCGCATTTTCCCATCAAAAAAAAATGTTCTTTATGGAGGGAGGCGTTTGTCTTCTTCGCTTACAGAATAATCATTAACCCAGCAGAATTACGAGCAGTTCGTCGGTGGAAATTGATTAATCTAAACAAATCAATTGTTGACGGGTGGCTTTTCAAGTGACAAAAAGAAGTTTTGTTACACTGGCCTCACAGTAACAATTAATCAGTAGGGATGATGGGTGGAGTTGTGGTGTAGTTCAACTCCTCACTTGGCCACAAAATAGTAGAAGCTGATTCCTTCTTGTGTGACCTCAGAGCTTTTAAAGGGCAACAACTCCTATGCTAGTCATACATAGCCTTTCCAAACTGTTGTTTTAACACTTTGTGTGGGTTTAAAAATTTTACTACTGGTTATGGAATGCTGCAAGACAGGTGTGGATATGAAATTCTCGAGTTAGACCTATTTCTATACCCCAACCAGCCCTCCAGAGGGCGGAGAGATAACACAGCTGGTTAACTGGGTATCTGAGAGAAATACCTTACCACTAATCCAGGTTTAACAACAAATCAAAAAAAACTTCATGTGGGTGACTATGAAATGATGGTGTCATTCAAGTGTTGGTTTGTAGGGATTTGATTGGTTACAGGATTTCATCATGAGTTAACATTAGTTAGAGAACCACTGGAAAACCTGGACTACTGGACAGCTATTTATTCGTAGTTTGTGACTTTTCAGCAGTACGCACCCATCAGGATTCGAACCCAGGGTTCTCTGACTAATGTCAGCCCATGATGAAATCTTGTAACCAATCAAATCTCACCAAACCAACACTTGAATACCAATGAGACGCTCACTAGCGACTTGTCCTATTCAGGGAGGGAGTTACCTGGGGTTCTATTGAGAAATCGGGACCGGTAGGTTGCAGCAGGTCAGGTGTGAGGACAAATACTCGCCGAAGACATTGGTTAGGGGTCGCACTATGTCGTGAATTGCCAGAAGTTAGAATTTATGCACTGGCCATTGGACCGGGTCCAGGTGGCCTAACGGCATATGAGCTCGCCTTGTGACCAGGATGTCCTGGGTTCGAAACCTTATATGGGGTGCGTACTGCTGAAAATTCCCAAACTAGGACGAAACAGCTGTCCAGTACTTCCAGGTTCTCCAAAATGATTTTCTAACTAATGTCAGCTCATGATGAAATGATGGGGTCGTTTGATGGTCTCGCAGCGTTGTACACGTCAAGTGATTCGAAACTCTCAAAAGTCATTAGGCAATGACTACACTGTGGTGATGTACACAGAAATTGTAATGTTTGACTGGATGGAGCTCATTGATTTGCGTCTTACAAAATACATCCAGTTCAATAATCACATATATGGGAACGCCAATATCAGGATTAATAACTCAAGTTGATATACAAAGATTAGAATTAAAGGCCATATTCATATGTAAACAGAAAATCTGAGAACGTCATGACGATGGTATATTCGTAACACCTAGAAGAAATGACTTAAAATATGCCCACAAATGAATACACGCCATATCCGCAGACATTGAATTCACCACAGAAGACGAGCTAACACGAATATACAGAAAATGAAGACATAGATGAGATCCTGAAATGCGATGATAATAATATAGTGACTCAAAAAAGAAACTGTGCGGAAATATCGTTTAAACCAGTTGAAGCACTGTGAAACTCCAGTGCTGAAGAGAACAGAACAGGAATGCCAACAAACTGTCTTCAAGTAGAATAGATACCCATGCAGTTTCATCAGAAAATGTTCTGCCTGAAGTTGAAATACTAAGAAGAAAGCATCCTGAAAGACCACAGGAAAATTCGTTCCACCAAACACATAAAGACTATCTCTGAAATAACAGCTAGAATACCAAGATCATTTGTAACGGACATAATTCACAAGCCAACACAATCGCTTAGTTCAATATTCTGAAGATTGAAGTCTCCAAAGGCATAAGTGTGGAAGATCACAATATCCATTGAAAAATAAACAGAATAAAGTGCAGTAAACACCACTTGGGGGTAATGCTGGCTTCCCCTCCGAATCAGAATTCAAGAGCGTAAATAACCATGAGAAAATAGACGACTTGCAATTCTTCATTTTAAACGCACGCAGATAATTACGTACCCCAATTTGTTTGGGAGAAAGTAGAAATTTTAAACAGAGGGAACACTGAAAATGCAGCCATGGAATTTCTAGAAGCCTACCACTCAAGTGAATCAGCGATTAACCAACACACACACACCACTATGAATCACATTTACCAACTAGTAATAAACAATGAGCCCCGTGACAAGAAAGTTCAATTCCAAGTCAGTAGAAAGCTGATCAATATATACATAATTAAACAATCAATCAGAGAAGGGAAGGTTGTCAAGGTGACTGATACAAATATATCACTCATAGAGAATTCAAACAAATTCAATTTATATTAAAGCTTTCGCTGAACATTGATAACACTAACAATTATCTCGAAGAAAGCAATGTGCAATAGCCTACAAAAAAAGCTGTAGTCAAAGGTAAACAATCCAGACGCTATCAGCTGTGAGAATATATCTGATAAAGACTGTATATCAACCATGAACATGAATTCGAGAAGTCGATATATCTATCTATTGATCACTGTAGGAAAATCTGAAATGCGGGATAGGAGGAAACCTTTGTGTGTGTGTGTAGCTTTCATTTTCTGAAGACAACTCCCTGTTTTGGCAATCCGTAATACTAGAAACGTATTTAAAAATAAAGGAGTCTGCATCAACCCAACGGATGGTATTTTCGAACAATTGACTGTGAAGTATGTCAGCTGTTCATCACAAAACAGACCATTCTCATCATTAAGCTTTAATACTGATAAAGGCACAAAACCAGAGGATTTCAGACGGTTGGTGTATGTGACCAGTAGTGGCTGCCTGCAGAATTCTTAATGTGAGTTTCTTACTATTTGAGAAACGTCAGATGAAGTGATGATGTACGTAATAATACTCGAACTAGGCAGCCATAATAGCAAACTTACTGGCAGTTAACGTGTTGACAACTTTCAGATATAATCTCTTCTTCTGAGGAGGCCACTGGGTGACATTGCGCGTCAGGCCATTGCTCGAGTGGAACCCGAAAGGGAAGCGGCCAATGGGACGTCAGTGCAAGGGTGAAGTGAAGCGATCGTGTGAAGAGGGGTTGAAACAGTATGGACTAACAATGGAAAATGTAGGTGAAAAGTGAAAGCAGAAGCAAGACAGAAGCAAGTGGAGACGTGCAACTGAAGCCCTATGTTCCACTAGGAACCCGAGGGAACAATAATAATATAGTAACAAGTGAGCCATTGAAACAAAGTATTAGATAAGTTATATATATATATATATATCAACAAACAAGAGACTTACACAGATTTGCATATACCACAATGGCAGATTCTTCAACTCTTCAATTCCCGTAATCACATCTCTGTAAGTGAAAAATGTTATCCAGTAGACTGCAGCACTTGTCTATTTTAATATGAAATCAGCATTAAGACAAATAACAACGATATGATAACTACTCACCCAGGTGGATGCAAAGATACTTGTATAAAGATATTTATGAATAGTGAACAGTTTGAGTGCTTGTAGTGGTGTGGCGACTAAGAAGTACACGGATAATACGACCTACAAATAAGGAAAAGAGGAGAGGAGGCACACAGAGACAGTGTGTAAGGTACTACGCTTGCTTACCAATGTGGCGAAATTGAGATATCTGAATAACTTTAACACTTTGTTCACATCAACTGACTGTTCTGGATAGAGGTATATGTAGGCGACAACAAAACTGGAAAAAATCGATCCCAGAGCACAAAGACGATAGATTACAGTGATAGCACTGCTTATAAGTCGTTTGGAGACCATTTTGTTGATTTACTGGAGATTGTGTTCACAGTAGTCTTTATTGCATTAGTCTTGGTAGTCTTATTTACACATATGTATATATATATATATATATGTATCATGTAACGACACACTCAACTGAAAACACTGGCTATTATCGGCTAACAAATAGAAAATTTTATTAGAAAGTAAAACATAAGCAGTATTGAGTGAAAAGTGCACATTAGCGCAGTAGTTGTGGAATTTCTACTAATTAATTCCGCTTACCGATAGCGATATTCATAAAAATGAGACCACAATTAATTTCACTTACAACAAAAATAGCAAGATGATTCCTAAGCGATAAGACTCACAGGATACAAATGAATAATAAAATATCCATCTATCTATCTATCTGTCTATCTATCCATTGTCACTTTACGCAGGATACAAATTTTCGGCTACCTGAATATATTTTTATCAGTTTAGTTTTTTGTGTGTAGCTAATTGTTCTGGTATTACGTCTCCTTATGACGATATGTCGTATTCTGGAACACTGCTCATCCTGCCTAGCTACTCAAAATGAAATATATGAACTACATTAACTCTGTTTTTAAAAACTTTATCAACTCTGGTCATCGAGCATCTTCGCTAGGATGTTTCACAGTGCTTCACATATTCCCTCAATATTGTATGCAAAGATTTCTGATACACCATCTCTTCATTGATGAATCATTGCCTAACCTGGTTCTATAATAGCACTTTCTGCATTGAAAGGACACTACTTAACTTCACTCGCTCTATCGTTTCCAGAGTAACGTTCTTACCACAATTTGGCTTCATTTTGTTGTGTAAGCAATCTCTTACTACTATCACTATTATTATTATACTCATCACACTTATTTAATTATCATCCAAGTATTTAAAACATGCAACAATGCAGGTTAATAAAGCAGGATTTCATGATGGATTCATCAAATCTCGGTAGAAGTCATCAGCTGAATACTTTACATACACGGATATATGTGTATATACTTTTGAAATTACATTGGGAGATATAAGACTGAAAGGCAAATAAGCCACATTGAATTAGTCATGCAGAAAGACACGGGTGCGAATGTTTTTCAGGTCATGTTCAAATAGATAAGGGAAGAGGGAGTATGAGAGAGTAAAATTAGGATAAAATGCGTTACGCTTCCATTACATAACTTAGATAAACAATTAGACTTTAGAGAATATTTGAACAAGGCATTAAGAAGACAAATTTCGCGAGATGATGCCATCATTTCGTAGTTTCTTTAAAACCGCTTTACAACTAACATGGTTAACAATCATAAAATAAAGTTCATGAAAATTACTCAGTTAAATAAAAAAACACAAAAGTACATACTAATGACCAATCATATTTAGATAGGTCATGTATACCAAAAAATTGCGAACAGAGTAATATCAGCAGTAATAGTTATAATAACAATAACAATAGTAATAATGTTGAAATGAGTTAAGATAATCCTACTGATATAGGATAGTTTTAAGTGAATCAATAATAATAATAATAATGATGAGGTAGAACAAAGTGTTGTTAAAATTATTTCTAACATTCAATATGTAAAGCATATTTCCATGGTAGATTCAAAGTGACAGCCATCGCCTTTTGTAAACTGGCTTTGCCGTAACAGGCGATGACAACAGACTTCATAACGGAATGCTTATTTTCAGTATGGGAAATTATTTTTACCATATATATATGAAATCTATCATTTGCACAGATCTTCCATGCTGTTCTAATCCTGCCAATCTTCGTAGTGTATTTGTCTTTTTTTAATTACAGCTTGATGCCACACCGTGTTTTCGGTACAAGTATGGAATTATTTTCAGCATGTGATATCGGTAGCCCTAATTCTGCAGGCCGACCAAAGATACCGGGTGGGCGTCGGAAGGGGATCGAACCCCGGACCATGTGCATGGTTGGCGAGAATCCTAACCAATGTGCCACCGACGAAGATATCTTGCCACAATAATTTGGTTCACTTCCTCTCTCTCTCTTTACCTCTCTCTGTGTAACGTCAAATCTATCTCTCGGTTATTTGGTAAACGTCTGTTCTATATACTACTGGTAAATCGTTTCAGTAGCCGATATCACAATGCTGCAAATATCCGTGTTTAAGTAGTGCACACCATTAAGTATGGCTGACTTCTTGCAAGTGAGTTTGTTTGACATTTATAAAATAAGTGACAAGACGAAGGTCACTACGTGCTATTGTCCATGAATTCACGAAAATGAATTACAATGGTGCTGGGCTCAGGGTGATCAAGAATGCTCCTACCGCGGTTGGAGGCTGACCAATGCACCTCGATGTGTTGGAACTCGCGACGGACCCTAATCGGGTGCGCTCGGGCGTGTAGTTTTTGTCAGTGGGGAGGCCTTACGGTCCTGCCTTTATTTGTGCATTGGTGGCACAGCGGTTAGGACTCTCGCAGACCATGCACATAGTCCGGGGTTTGATCCCCTACCGACGCACACCCGATATCTATGGTCAGCCTGCAGAATTTGGGCTACCGATATCACATGCTGAAAATAATTCCATACTTGTACCGAAAATACAGTGTGGCATCAAGCTGTAATCGAAAATGAAAAATAAAAAAAGTAATTTTTCATTCGTTAAAGCAGTATAATAACACTGTTAGCTGCTGTTCTCTACATCTTCTTTTAGTGTACACCTCTGAAGAAGTGACAGTTTGGACAAAACAGGTTGCAAGAGAAACAATCTTAGTGTTTTTTCTGTTTTTTTATTTCCCTGTTCTTGTTATCCTGTTGCTTTCCTGGTAGAACATAATGCTTCAAATGCAAATTTGGGTTTCGCCTTTGATTCATTTTCCTATCACATAGGATCACCTCCACTTCACAACTGGACAAGCTTCCTGCTCTTTTACTCAATAACAGTCATGATTTACTTCATTCCAATAATACCGTGTGGGATTTGCAGCATTTGGTACAAGGGTTTATCTAATTTTATCGAGTAATTTAAAAATAAACAGTTATAAAGATAATATCACAGGTCCATTAATGTTAGTTCTTATTCGGTGTTCAAGTGGACAGTAAAGTCATATTGTAAATAATAATAATAATAATAATAATAATAAGAGCAGCCTTAGATTATCAGTTAACTGAGGAAAAAGTGTCAGCATAGATTACAAATAGGAGATAATAAAAGAGCCAGTTACTTTTCTGACAACATAGCAATTCATAGATTTTGTCTCTATCTCATAGAACAGGGTCACGACTAATATCCTTGATATCATTGAGTTCCTATACTTGGCAGTACTTGGTATATAATCTTTTCTACTGACTACTGGTCCTATAAGGTGAGACAAAGCAATCGGATGAGCTCCGGTGTCGAGCATTCAAAAGTATGGATTTAGCCTGCCCATTTCTCTCATGAGTCAGTTCAGTTGTCTATCAACTAATGCAGTAACAACAAGCTGATTGAATTGTGAACCACTCACCCTACCGACAGCCTTCAACACCCTTCTCAAAGCATATTGTAAAGACAGGTCGTTAAGTTTACCTTAAACCTATATCAGAACGCGGAAAATTAATAAAGTGAGTCTGATAATTGAATTTTTTCAAAGCCCTAGTTTTTAAAGGGTTGACAGCTGTTTCATGGTTCTAAAATAAATTTCTTATCACTACTCTGTACTTGCTTCGCTAGTCCAATTTTGAAACCAAAGATTTGTTGATGAATGATATTTTGACTGTCTTCTTATTCATGACCTCTTATCTGTGCTGCTGATCCTTACATCAAGATTAAAGCAATAATTCGTACAGATCTGATTGCTAACAAGTTTGATCAAGTGTCAGAATCATCTAGAGAGCCACGAAGAACAGCACCTGAGTAATGGACAGTTGTCGCATCCTAACTCATCTCTCTCCAACAGTACACAACCGTCAACTACCCCATCGGGGATCGCATCCAACACCATCTGATTTTATAGTAAGCATGATGATCATTTTGCCACTGACTTTATATTTGTGTTCGAAAACTGAATTTTGTTGCTTATGCTGACTGGGAGAGAGCGGAAAATTTCCAAACTGGTTTCAGGTTGATGAAGGCGTGCCATGCATTTCCAATTCTGTTTAGCTGATGTTGACATCTTCATCCGTTCCATCCACTTTTGGTTGGAACCATGCTACCTAGCCAGATAGTGATTGGTGCTGATTGTTATTGTTGTTGGTTGGTTATTTTCATCATTTTCGCCAGTCTTCTCTATTTTCACATGGATGGAGTCCTGTCAACCTCTTCTGCCAGTTTGCTGGTTTTCGCCTTTAGGTTTTCCAGCTTGTGCAACATTAAAACTAAATCATCTGTGAAAACCCGATCTGTTATAGTCTTCGTATCGGTCAGTGCAATGTATTCTGGTCTTCTCACTACTTATGCAGAGTCTGACGCATAGTTCAGTCCGCTACGATTAAGAGTATCATCCCAGGTTAAAATAGGCACCCAGCTTCTCTTACCAATAATTTCACTTCGAATGACCTGCTAAGTTTTCGTTGTGCGTCACCTGGTAAGTGGCATTGGCAATCGGTCAGCTGTTGAATGAGGCCGATAAATACTTGACTACTGTACGTCTTAGCGTTAAATTAGTTTCTCGGTCAACGTTGTCTGTCGAAGGCCTTTTCGAACTCGATGAATTCGCTGAGATAGGGAGACTTTTGACTGCCATTCTATGCTTTGTTCTGTGATGATGATGCGCAGAGTTGCAATTCAATCGTCAAATGATTTCGTGTTTATGAATCCGGCTTGTTTCTTTCTGGTGGATTTCTGCATCCAGTGCATCCCTTATTCTCTCCAGGATGATACGGCTTGATATTCAACTTGGCGTGAACAAGGGTTGCAGAGGCGCCAGTCACCCTTCTTCACAAGCGTCACAAGTTAGCCAGCTCGTATTTCAATCCATAGGCGCAATCTTTCGTAATAATAGCGCTGTCTCTGGGTCGGCTTTCAGTACTTCCGTGTGAATTCAGTCTGTCCCTATTCTCTTTCTGACTGGACTTCAGTCAGGATCATGATCGCTTTCATGATTTCCGCTTCCACTGAAGGATTAGTCTATGCCAACTACTGTAGGTGAAATTAGATGCTATATTGTACCAAGTACTGAAACTCCCACGCTCTGTATTATTAGTACTGATATGGGATAAATCAAATTATTATTGTTATTAATGTATTCACAAAGTAATACTGAAAATGCCAAATCTAAAAGTGGTATGAGGTTAAATTAGTGAAATCTGTAAACAGTCATATTTACAGGTTCATTATTGTTGCAACCAATAAAATGCGTAGTTTACGTGTATGGATTACCAAAAGTGTTTTCGAATATTTTCAACCTTGACCAGCTACGATAAATTACCTAAAGGCCAAATTATTTGTGCGTAGGTAGATATATATATATATATATATATATGTATATATAATAACATGTTTATCATAAGAAGTCGATTGAACGGCATCACACATCATACCATCATAAACCATGGTGTCTAAGGAAGTAGTGAAGATTATCATTGCTTCAGTTTACCGACTGTTAGTTCTTGGAGTGTTTATGGCATTCACTGTCGTTGGCTATCTCTACCTATATCCAGATGAAGCGTTCCGGATTCAAAATCTCTTGGTACTATTCAAGTATATCACATTTATAACTCTGGTAAGAGTTTTTTTTATCATACTGCATCATTTCGCGTCTTCTTGTGTCTTTTTCTAGACACTGGTACAAGTGTATTTCTCTGCGGCCACATTACTTCAAGCATACAAAGTGTTCACAGTTCATTCTTACTTCTATACACTGGCGTTTACATATAGTTGGGTAAGTAATTTCATGTAATACTTCTTGTATATTTTCATTGCTTTTTTTTAATGGTTTTATATGTGTGATAACGGATTGATGTGGGTTACAGAGCTATTGAGTACAATCAGGCTGTAGTCGAAGTGAATAACCGAATAGTTGAATTCAAACCTCCATTAATTAGCATGGTTTTCTTCTTGTTTTAATGTTGAAGGATCGCTCTGCGTACATTTCATTCTTCTTTGTGTGTGAGACATTCCTATATCACTTAGTCACGAGCTATTCTGACTGCCTCCTCAACACTCAATGATTTCTAATCTACTTTAGAATGACTTTGTTTCATTGTGAAAGTTACTAAAAGCTATCGATAGTTTGAGTTGGATTTCCCTAAGCCAACTGATTATCGATACTGCTAGGGAGCCAGATAGAGAGGGGTAGAGAGAGAAGGGGAAACGGATACATTTGCACTCCTGAGAGAAAGTGATGAATGTCGAACACCTAGAACCCTCTTTGTATGCACTGACAACTCTTGCTTTGCATTTCATCATCAGAACGGACATGAAGTAATTTTCAAAGACGTTATCCACAGATGACTAAGTATAAAAATATTTCCACATCGTTATGCATCGGCATGCATTTCAGGTGATGCGAAAACTGTTGAGTACGAAACTGTAAGTGAGTTAAAACTGAGGTGCGAATAGATACAAAGATAACTGTAGTAGTATGAAATGCAATTAAAATATTTGTGACTGTAATCACAGTTCAATATCAAGTGTCGAGTGACAAAACAATTAATTTTCAAGTATTGGTTTTGTAGGGATTTTGTTTGATTGTATGGAGGACTTCACCATGAGCTGACATCAGTTGGAGAACTACTGGAAAACCTGGGAGTACTGGACAGCTGTTTCGTCCTAGTTTGGGACTCTTCAGCAGTACGCATCCACCGGGGTTCGAACCCAGGACCTACTGGTTACAAGGCGAGCTCGTAGACCATTGAGCCACTGGTACCCAATCCAATGGTTCTTGAATTCTAACTGATGTCAGCTCATGGTGAAATCCTCTATACAAAACAATTAATGTCACATTTGTAGAATAATTTCCAAGATGTATAAAAGTTGGGAAGGGGGTGTATAATTTTATTGCTAATAGGCGAATATATGACGTTACATAACAATTTAGAAGGTAATACTGAGAAAGCATTTTCGATCTAGACTCACATATGGGAAAAGTGGAAGGAGATCAAAGTGAGCATTACCATAGTAACGATAGTAATAATAATCACAGTAATGAGAGAAAGCTACATAGATTAACTAAATAAACAGTACAAATAAAATAAATAAATGTCCATCCCTCTTTGGCCAAGGCAGAGGTAGGGAATCGAACACGCTTCCTTTCTTTACAAAGGTCTCGCCGGCTTAAATTAATGATTGACCAAGGTCTCCACTGTCTTTAGACGTTTATCACGAATATAAAGCGGCAGTTTAGTATGAATTCGATAAATTATCTTCAAATCATGGTCAGGGTTATAAGGGTAGTGGTAACAGAAGTCGATCTTTTATTCTCTAGTAGAGACAGGTAGATTGTGTTCTCATAGTTGTGTCTCACTTTTCATTATAAATGTTGGTTTTTATATGAATTTCACACCATTTTACGCAACGCTTTATATTAGCCTACTAATCGTATAATTATACCCATTCTCCCACCATCCATATATCTTATGAATTATTCCATACATATATATATGTATATTCTGGTACAGTGTGATAATAAAGTGGTTGGAAAGAGTCTCTTCGCTAAACACTGACATTATTATCAATGGTAAACTCCTGTTTAGAATAAGGCAGTTACTGCCTCGTTTTCACAGTGTATTCTATCCATTACACGAGGTTTTTCAGTCCACCGCCAATGAATTCAATCCAAACTATGTACGGCATGCGTGTCAAGTAAACTGCCTAAATGCAGTTTTTATGATGAGTTTGCTTGTCGTAGAATTCCCTTTTTGCATCACTTGTTTTCATGTCTTTCTTCTGCCTTCTTTCCTGCCTGTCTCTTCAATAAAATAGACAATAGCTATGATATACCTTATTGTGTACTTGGTTGATCCAACTGTGGCGACTGAAAATCCTGAACTGAAGGCCATGCCTTTATGGTTCAATCATGTAACTGTAAGTTCATTGGACTTTTATTACTATTATTATTATCATCATCATTGTTTTATTATGCGATTGAAGCAACCAGATCCATGTCTTGTATATCTTCTATTGATTGACTCTTGTATTGGAGTGAAATATTCAGATTTACCGGCATATCGTCTCCTAGCAACCAGAAGAATTGTTATCAGGATGTAACATTGATCGCGCCTGATGAATAATGACTATCAGCAGGATTTACAATACTCACATTTAGTCCTACTCAGGAATCAAATTGAAAATCTCATTATCTGCTGAACAAGTTGGAAGGGTGTTTTAGTATTTATCTTAATCGCCACACATTATCACAGCTTCCGTACTAGGAGTGAACATGTTTACAGACACCAAAGATTAATTTTTCTTGTAGATAAATGGGAAAACAAGAATGGCTTAGACAAAATCATCACTTATCCCTGTTGCATAGTATATGTACCTCTTGTCCTCAAAACGACCTTGTAGATAAATGTTTAGCGTTTCAAACGAGTGATGCTGACTTCCATCGACGATACACAGTACAGAAATTAGTTTAGATAATTAAAAATATCTGTAAAATTTGTGCAACGTGGTAATAAGTAATTCCATATCAGTTTGTTTCATAGATGTATCACACAGTGAAACAGTATTGCTATTATTTACTTGATGACAATGTTTCAAACACAATTTATTTTTTTATAATCATATCATAATCACACGACTTCGAAACTTGAGTTTTATAGTTTTCTTTGTTCTCTCATCTTTGTCGTCGTAGTGGTAGTAGATTATCCCGGATATCTCCGACAGGTATTGAATCATTCCTATTACACGTGTTTGTAGTTGATTCGATAAACAAAGATTCACTCAACTATCAATCTGTCTGTCTACCCTGTTATACCAGATTTTAAAACTATCATCTTATCCCATCCAGCCTATTGTATGGTTGTGTGTAATTGCATGTAGTGATTGGTATATCTGAAATATTCTCAAGATTTCTTATCTTATTCGAGTCAATTTATCTGGATTTTACTAGGTTCTTGTGCTCCGCTAGTCTGACTAACTGACTCCATAATACTACTACTTTGATCTATCTATTTGACCTCATTGACAATCATTCCAGCAGGGTATTAGATAAACTTATTTGTGTTGTTTTAAAGGCTCCACGGAATCAATGCGTTAACCGACAAAGCTTGTTTCTAATCGCGTTTGTGGGTTTAGATGCTAGCCACTTTTATTCTCGCCTTGTTAAGAATTCTGCGTTGCGTTTCCGAGGTTCTTTCTTTGTATCGAAGTACGACTGATGATTTAGTTTCATTATTGTTGGTGCTATCATTATCCCGCGCATGTTTGACTTGGATGTCATCATTAACATAACTATTTTCACTGTCATTATTCATTTTAATTTTACCTTTCCTTAAACACTTTCTGACTAGTTTATCAGGATAATTATTAAGTTTCAAAACCTCTCTATTATATGCCTCCCTTCCTGTCTTAGAGTTTCCCTGACACTATTTAGATTTTGTGCCCTGTTGTAACAACGGAAGACAAGGGCCAGGCAACAGATCGTTTATTAAGGAAATCAGCATGTATTTATACATATATATATATATTTCATCTACATTATTATAGCTTATTCAAGCAGACAAACACAGTATTCTGATTGGTTGTTTCTTGGTCAAGGTTATTCTGTACTACTTGTGACTGGTTTCTCAGAAGGCTAAGCCATATATCTGCGAATCGTATTCGCCCACGTTAAGTCTGCTCTGATTGGTTGTTGAATCCGTTAATATTTTCTCACGGCGAATATTAGCGACATAGACATTGACGTAAATTAATGTCTACCAATTGGCTAGCAACCTGCTCTCACCACACTATTACCTAAACATTTCAACAGTCCTTTTTTTACTGACAATGGGTGAGACGATCAGAAGTCCAAATATCGGTTTAAATGTGCATGTAGGTTTCCTGTGAACACTAGTGTCTAAACTCCCTGCCTCTTTCCTTTTTACACAACAATCCGCTTCCTTCCAGTTCATCAATGAATTGAATTGCCTCCACCTTTGAGTTAATGGGTTTGGAAAATCTATCTTCATCCTGTGTTCTACGTACAGTGGACGTACGTTTTAACCGCTAAGTTTTCTTACCTATTCATGAATGCATCTGTCACAACCGGAGATATGGATGACCCCTTTGCAACTTCCTCAGTTTGTTTATGTATTTTTCCCTGGAATTTAAATACGACAGTGAACAAATCTTTCCTGCACACAGATTTCTGATTTATACTGGTGTGATACTGCCAACGTCTCCTTCATACACAAATCATGACTTTTAACATCTTTTGCACAATTCAGTTCTCACCTTGTTGGTAACTATCAAAAGACGACTGTGGTGGAGTCAGTTATTGTCTTCCGATTTTTTCTTGCTAAAACTATGTCGAACAATGTTCAGATATACGCTGGAAAAGTTTACGCTTTGTGTAGAGAGCACAAATAACGCTATTGGCCCTAGTGGATTTATAAGCATATCCTGAAGTAGCCTAAACTGGTAGTTCGTTCTTCATACATTCACCGACTGTGAACGTCGCTCGAAAGATAAGGAAGCTTTTTTAAGAGATCCTGATAAGTGGGATCATCTTCGTCAAACTCAACATTCGTAATCATTGAATTCTTGGAAACCGTTACGATGCTTTCAGCCTTCTGATTTAATTTTAGCGTTTTACTCAGTGAGTGTTGTAGGATGTTCATCTTCATCTTATGTCCATCTTGTCTTATTCTCGGCAGTTTGTGCAACTTCTGAAGAGATGTGATTTCATCAATAAAGAGGAAGGTTTCATCACTGAACTGTCTTTAATTTTCAACGTGACTCATTGGATATGTTAGCACTTTTGAAAATATTCGTTTTTTATTCACGGAATGCAAATTTCATTTTAATTCTAAATTTTCATTATATTTATATGTAGCACTTCTTTCCACCAGCGGCAGTTGTTGTCGACGCGTTCGTCTGGAGACCAAAATCCGTCAGATTGTTACTTTCCTTCATTATTTGTTATATTCTGATGGCAGGTTACAATATCTAGTAAGTGTACAGCTGAAACACTTTACGAATTTCTCGATACACTGAACCTTATTTGTGTAAGCGTTCGACACTATGATCGTATGCGATTAGTTCGCAATTAGTTTCTTCATTCAATGAATGATATTGTAGGTGAGAATGTGCTATTCACTGGACTGTAGTGTGATTCTATTTGTTTCAAGATCTGGATCACCGATTGACATCAATTAGATAATCGTTGAAAGCAAAGCAACTACGGAGTACTGGAGAGCTAATTCTTTTGTCAGCCTAATTACTTGGGTCTCATCGGAAGTAAGCACCCACTTCCAGTGTTCGAACCCATGACCTGCCAGTTACATGGAAAGCTGGCAGACCATTCAGATACTGGGACTTAATCGGACCGCACATGAATTCTGACTTCTATCAGTTTGATACTTTAACGCGACTACCTACAACCAGTGTTCCTACCGGTGAATATTTGCTCTCGCTGTCGACTGAATGGATTACATGGATGGTCACAATTTTTCAATAAAAGTCCAGGTAACTTCATTCTCCGGTCAATCGAGAATTTCTGAGGATAAAAACAGAGATGGATGAGGTATATGCTTGCAAAGTTGATGGGTGGCTTCGTCAGCTAGCCCGTCGCTTTAGTTGAATCCGAGTGGGGAACGGCAGATTGGAACAGATGACGTCAAGGTGCTGACAATGGATCTATGGATGCAGAAGCCAATGACGCATGAAATATAACTCCGTTCAAGCCAAAAAATTGGTTCCCACTGATCCTTGGTTTTCATTATCAGCCTGGAAACAGGATATTGGCGTTTGACAAAATCTGCAATGATATTGAAGTCTCTGTATGATTAGTATCGATGTGCACAAGTCGTCTTCATCTTTTGCGAAATTTTAATTCTCTCATCTATCCATCTGTTCACCGTTTCTTTCTTTCTTTCTTTGTTCATACAGCATAGAAGTTTCAATATCGGCATTCCACTTCAGTCCATATCCAAAACTTGACAAAATACCAACTGGTTATCGATTTCTGGTTTATATAATTTCTTGGGGATTGGTCAGTGTATTCACTGTATGCAATTTCTACCTACTTCGTCTGATCAATCGACGGACCAGCGATGCTGAACAATCAATTGAGGATAAGAAATAAAGACATTTTACACTAATTTATTTCTGTAGTTTCTCTGTAATTAATAAAGGGAAGCATGAAAACCTCAGGATCTGATTGAATTCTTTCAAAGTTCAGAGTTAGTAGTGTGTAATTTTGCTTTTTCTTGGTCTCGGTTCGGGGCGAATAAAAAAGCGTTGTTCTGCTTGGATTCTCGTATGTAACAACAGAAGACAGGGGCCGGCAACAGGTCGTTTTATTATAGAAATCAACACGTATTTGTATATATTTCCTGTATATTATTATAGCAGTCTTCTGATTGGTTGTTTCTCAGAAGTTAAGCAGACAAACGCATACTCCTGATTGGTTGTTTCGGGTAACCATCGAAAAGTGGAGCCATCTATCTGAGAATCATATTTGTCCACGTTAAGCTTGCTGTGATTGGTTGTTGAATCAGCCTTGTTCATATTTTCTCATGGTCAATATTAGTGACCTAGACATTGACGTTGATTAATGTCATCCAATTGGCTGGCAGCGTGCTCTCACCAGAAGTAAAGTGCTAGTCTTAAAGCTGACGAGCTTGAACATTCATCACATCCACCAGTGTGAAGTTGTCGGACGTATATAATATATATTCATAATATTGATGACAGAGTATGTGAGTGTTCTGTTTGAACGCATAAATTCAGTGCTAAAGGCAATTCAGTTTACATGAGTAGTTTCAAAGTCTTGATTCGGTAGGACACTTTGTTACAATCAATTCGTCAAAGAAAAATGAGGTGGGAAGATAGTCGTTAGTGTTTAAAGAAACCTTGGACATTTAAACCGATATTTGTATGCTAGGAAGAATCCATGGTGAATGATGTTGGTAATAATTTAGAGAGCAGCATACCTGAACGGTTATTAACGAAGCATATGAAAAGATATTAGAATAATAATAATAATAGCAATAGCACAAGCGATAAGGATTGCTTGAAAAATAAGTATACACGGAGAGCTGGAAAGGCAGTGAGGAATTTAAGAGGAATCTTCAGAATCTCACAGTCCTAATTAAAAAGAATAAAAGTGGCACTTGATTCGTCAAAACTGCTTAAAAATTAGATCATGGTAATAGGAATATGCGGAGCTTATTCAACTAAAAAAGAAGAAACCAGTTCACATAATGCTGTGACATGATTACGAGGTGAAATATGTATATGTAGGTTCATGTAGCAGATCGAGATCAGGTAGACTGGAGCATGGCAGAAACGCCGCAAATTCTAGACTAATACACCGAGCTTGAGCAATATATATGTATGTATATATCTAGAAAAAACCTCAACCAAACCACTGCATGCAGTTGGTTACACACAATCATACAATCGGATGGTACAAAGGAGCAATCTTCGTACTTAAAGTGACTAGGTAGATTTAGAGGTGTATCACTGAGGCCCTTACTGACGAAAAAACCCAGGAATACATGTAACGGGGATGATACAACACCTGTCCACCCAGACAACTGGAGATTAATAATAGAATAATAATATATCAAGTTACTCAATTTCATGGTTGCAATGTTTGATGTAATCGTAAATAATAGATTGTCTTCGATTTTTTGTCACAGTGTGGTAGGTAGAATGAATAGTGTTCAAGTTTTATGCTTACATATTAGTCAGTGTTTCACACCGTGTAAGTCTCCGACGGATAGATCTTTTGAGAAATCCATCATTGCGTCCACTGAGGCACATATCAAAAAAGGGGATGCTTAGTTCATATCTCTCTTCCATGCTGAACTGCAGCGAGTGATGGCAGTTGTTAAATGCAAGCAAGATATTGTCAAGAATTACATCCTTATTGCAAATAACGAAACGGTTGTCTACGCATCTTCTATGAATGTCAAGGAGACCGAATGTTTGACTAAGTTTATAGTTTCCAATATTTGCCATTAAACTGTCCTCCAGCAGTGGACCCAGTGACTATCCTATTTGCAATGTCATCTTTCTGTCTAAAAATCTCATTATTGAAAGTGAACTGAACATTTTACATGCGTTTGAATAAGAGTTGCTCGAGGTAGCTTGTCGACGACTCTAAGTCTAAACTATGCGCATCAATATCATCATTACATTTATGACAAACAGCTTTCACGAGATATACTTAAGCGATAGGCGAATTTAAATCTACGGAGAATATGACTTTCTCCGAGTCATCAAAATCCCTAAGACTCTCTCATTGAGAACAATTTTTTCCAGCCTTTCCTTATTAGGCTGCTATATTTACGGTGTGCTTGGAAGTCTAATGAACGAAAGGTGCTGATAATACATAGTGTGAGAACTTATCCACTTCGAAATCTCTCAGTTCCCAATACAACACACCATTTCCATATGTCCTCCTCACCATGAAAACACAAAGAAATCGGCAACAACAGAAATAATAGTTGAACGAGTCAATATATCCATAACTTCATAACTGCATTCCGCTCCGCTGCTGAAAGAACTCAGTCAACTCCCTTAGTTCCAACACAAAATGCATATATTCTAATGAACACATTAATGAAGAAATGTTCAGCCTGAAACTTACACTACAAGAAAACGGATACTCACAGAAGTTTTAAAAAGTGTTAATGTGAAAGCTGGTAAGGAGGAAAGGTTGGGCATGAGGCTAACAACCCCATCCTGTAAAAAAATAAACACTGCCACAGAAACTTCAAGCCTTTAGCTTGAAGCCTTATGTTCCACTGGGAACGTGAAGGAATAAAAAAAGAGGTGACATTTCCTGTAGCGAATTCGGTACCAAACTTCTCAGCTAAGCCGGTACTCACACACAACGAGTCAAGCAGAAGTATTCACTGGCGATCTCATCAATGTGTATCTATGAATTCAACTTCTCATGTAGAGCTAGTTACATTAACTCTACTCAGAGGATTTCATCCATACATGTGTGTGAATATGTACCTGAAAATTTGTAAACTGTCAGCGAAATTGAAAGGCATAAATACTCATTTCAGTTTCATAACAGTTTGTCGAACAAAACGTTAGGAATTACACAATTTCAATCCTGCTGAGATTTCACCAATATAATTTTTACAAATGTCTGCTTCTCTCTCGGAGCCCAGATCTTGTTCACGATTCATTTGAATGTACCTGTACAGTTGAGTTATGTGGCAACCAAATGCATGGACAGTCCACTATCAGTCCGGTTGGTAGATAATGAACACTCATTTAAACCAGAGGCAGTGTTCTTGCTTATCTACTGCGTTCTTGGTAATCTGACCAGAAAAGTGCAACTTTGTCTTCTATCAGTAGGTGAAGCGGTGGCAATCATAATCAAGCGACCTAGTCTCTATGTGTACAGAAGACGTATAATTAGTCGTTATATTTACCTTGGTCCTATAATTAAGGTAAACACATCCTTTATCAGCAATGACACTGTAAATTTCTATCAGTTATTTTTATTTAGAAAATCAAAACAAGTGGGGATTCAGCGAAGAGCCTCTTTTCAACGAATTTATCATCAAGCTCTACAGTCATATAGATATATATGGTTTTTAAGAAGTTATATCCGGTGAGGGGTGTGAATGCATAAAAATAATAATAGTAGTATGAAATGCAATTGAAAAACTAAAATGTTTGTGATTATAATCATAGTTTAATGTCAAGTGGCGAAACAAACAACTAATGTCATATATAGAATAATTCATAGGATGGATAGAACTTGAAAAATGGTGTGCAATTATAGGATTAGTATTTTTTTTTAATATTTTTGATTTACAGCTTGATTCCACACTGTATTTTTGGTACAAGTATGGAAATTTCAGCATTGATATCGGTAGCCCAAATTTTGCAGGCTGACCATAGATATCAGATGTGCGTCGGCAGGATGTCGAACCTCAGACCATGTTTAGGGTCAGCGAGAGTGCTAACCACTGTGCCACCGACTTACAGTAGTAGACAAATCGAATAAAATAAAAACCTTACGTAATATTGTGTGAAATTTGATAGCATGGAATTAAATGTTGCAACACAAAATTGATTTAGAATGACAAGTAGAACAAGTGAAATAATACCGGGACAGTTCAAAGTGAGAGTAGTAATAATAATAGTAAAAATTGATGTAATAAGGAAGAGTATACAAATTGAATAGACAAAATAAAAAATTAAAAATTGGTGGAGCTAAAATATGATTAGGGATTAGCATATTTTAGCAAAGAGGGGTTAAGACCATGAAAGTTGGAGGGGTTGAACGAACTTTTTCTGTACACAGAGATCTGGCTTTTCTGTTTCGATAGCCAAAGATGGCTTCAGCAATACAGATGAGTCGGGTACGTGGGGATTTGGGTAAATTATTGTTTGCCTTGTAGATGACTTTAAAGGCGGAGGCTATAGAGATAGGGTGATCATTATCAACCAGATGTTCAATGATCGCACTTCTTATTGCTCCACATCCACCTATTTGTAACCATGCAGGATGATGTTCATGCACCCTGTTGGACAAAACTCGAGTCGAACGACTGATATACCTAGCTCCACACTGGCAGGTGACTTGATAAACATATATCATGTTTTCCGTTATTTCATTGATAAACGTTTATTTCAGAAAATTTACGACTTCTATTCATTATCTTAGATGCATGTGTTGCTTTTCAAACTTGTTATTATATTTCCAATAGCCTGTTCATTCCACTTTACTAATTTCACAATCGTTGAGTAATAGCACTTTTAATTCCATTATGGGTAAATTTTTGTTTTGATAAAGTCTCACAGTGTTGTTATGCAGTAATGTTTACTGATGACATTTTGAGCACAATTTATTGGTCACTTTGATATGATTATGAGCATTAATAAATTGTGCTCGAAACCTGGTCATCAGTAAACATTACTGTATAACAACACTGTGAGACTTTATCAAAACAAAATTTACCCATAATGGAATTATACTCTACCACAGTGCACAAGTTTTATTCTTATATCAATAGGACTTTTAAGTTAACACAACACTGTCGTTATTATTTCAAAATGATTATTATTTCTATTCCCCAACCGTGAATTTACTTCTACTATGTTCTA